AAAAAAAAAAAAAAAAAAAAAAAAAAAAAAAAAAAAAAAAAAAAAAAAAAAAAAAAAAAAAAAAAAAACAATAAGCTCTCGTGCAAGCAGATGTACATATAATCGCGATGATAAAACAAACGCGAGAATCTCACCCGCACCAGATACAGGGTGAACCCGCATACACACCTGTACTCCAAACTGTGGGGCTCACGCGCAGGGGGATGAGGAAACAAGAGCAAATCAGTCATCTCCTCCTCGTCCCGTATTGACCTTCCAGTGATGACGTGTACGTCAGAGGGACATGACCGCTATTACAACACACACTTTCCTTTCGGAGTGTTATACTGCAACAACGTATGTACCCACTTGTCCCTCTCGTGAATATTCAAAAATTACTTGGCACTTGAGCTTTCAAGTGGGAGAGTGACGAGCTAAAAACTACTTGTCGCGTATGTACCTATACGTACAGGCATGTAAGTATGCAAATGTACGCGTGGGGTAGGTATTGAACCGCAAAGTTTCACCGGGCTTCGGGTGTCTCCCGCCCACGGGGTGCTCTTGCCACATATATACAAGGGGACGCGTTTGGAAAATTAATTACAAATGGTTGTGCAGTGCGCGACGTGTACCACGCGTCAAGTTTCACCACTTCGAGGGGGGGGTATCATCCGGTCGAATGATCGAGAACTCCCTAATAAATCGTCTTTGTACATCGAGCGCGATTTTGGGCTACCCATCCTTTCCCGCCACTCAACTGCGATGAAGAAGAAGAAGAAAAAAAAAGGCATTTCACTACGGGGACGTGTGTATACAGAGAAGCGTCTTGTTCACGACTGTACCGGTACTGTATACTGATAGGGAAAGGAGCACGACCTCTTCCCTCCGATAAATACACCACGATGATGATGATGATGACGATGCACCGAGGGAGCTGAGGCTCTGTGGTAATAGTAATCCAACCCCTCCCTCCCCCTCGGATTAGGTGAGCTGCGATCTTTTGATCGGCTTTCGATGATTAAGGATATATAAATATATATGTCAGCATGGGGTGTAAGATATAGGGGAGTCGTTGGGGAGACGGGATTTTGAGGCTGAATATTGGGTATTGGCGGATAAGAGGCGAGTTTTTCTTTTATCGTGTGGTTGACCCTCCTCACTTTGGCTGGATTTTAACATTTTTTTTTTAAAGTCTCCTGCGTTAGGCGAACCCGAAGATGAGTACAATGGTCCAGGGACTTAATTAAGCCACCCCACCCTCCATTATTGTTTCTCATATCTGTATCAGTTTGTAAAGTTTGAAGAGGATCGTTATAAAATTTTCAAAGAGGAGGGTACGGAAGAAAAGAAAAATCCCAAGTTGGCAGCGTCGTTCGATCGTTTGTAAATAATAAAACGCACGCGTGTTGTAATTTACCATGATGCGTAAGATTGTAAAAAATACTTAGTTCACCTGCGTAGTTGAAACAAAAAAAAAAAAAAAAAAACAACAGAGTATATTTTAGAAAGCTGGTGATAAAGGGACAATGTATATATGTACTGTGAGTACGTGCTTGCCTACCTTTGACAAAATTAAGAGTCTGTTCGAGGGCGTAACTTGGGTTATCGCAGGAATCGTACGCCAGCACGCCCAGCCGTACCCCAGGCAAAATATCAGGATTGCCGTTTATTTGTCCTACCGCGTACAGCATCGCTTCCAGCGGCTGGATTCCGTCCTCCATCTGCGGTCAAGCACACATTAACTGCCAATGCATATATATACACGTGAATATGAAATGTTAATGAAAAATGAAAACCAATGTTGTCTCGCTGCAATGGAACTTGAAATTTTTTCTTTTTTCTTTGTCTTTTCCTCCCCTTGTTCTCTTTCATTGTCCCACCGGGCTTTATTTTTCATTCACCGCAACTTTTCTCTCTCTCTCTCTCTCTCTCTGTTTCTTTTTTTTTTTGTTTTCAAGTGACCGCAATGAANGTTTTGTTATCCATTAAAAAAAAAAAAAAAAAAAAAAAAAACCAAAGATTTGTACGATACGGTTTAACTCATTCGGGTTGGTTCGGTGACGGACATTTTTAGAGCTGGGCAATATATTTGCTCGATCGCTGTGACATCATACCCAGGATGTGGAGTCTTCCGTCAAATATACCAGGAAATTCCAAGCTCGTACCTACTTTTAAATCCATTCGGTGAGCCCAAAAATAGGAAAGAAACACAATAAAGGTGGGTATAAGGAGACGAAAGTTATTGCTCTGTGTCGAAAAGCGAGCCCTCGCCCGATCGATCTGCCTTTTTTATGCGCCCTTTCTCAAACTTCGCACGGTATACCGTTTTTTTTTTTTTCTTTTTGTTTTTTTATGTGAATACGTACAGAGAGGCAATCGCGTAATCGTCGTCGTATAAACCTGATGTCCTTTGAAAAATTGAATACGCACGACTGTGGGATTCTTTTTCTTCCTTTATGTTTGGAGTACCGAAATTCACCGAAATAAAATGTTTGTCAACAGTTGTATATTTATGCACGAGTGAACGGAAAAACACGGCTTATTGGCCTTTTTTTAAATGCTAACGGGACAGAAGAATAGTAAAAACGATCGAATCTTTAAATTCAGTTGTAAACAATAGTTACAATCGAAATTTTGTTGAATCTCGGTATTCAGTGATGCTATAAATTATAATTTAATTTTTTTTTTCAATTCATCATAAACGAAATGTCAATTACAAAAGTTTGAAATGTAATAGTATTGAAATATTCATATTGTTAAGCCAAAAGTTAAATATTAATGAAAACTTATATAAGTATTATATTTTTGCAAGTATCGAGGCGAAATATATATTTATATAAATTTTTTTTTAATTATTAATTTATAAATTAGTTTCATAATTAGACCTTCATAAATTCTTCAATACGTTTAATTATCAAAGCTAACAGCCATTTGGCCCCCTTGAATGATTTGCCACAACAGTGGCACGACGAATAATGTAGTCTCTTTGAAAACAATAAAATCCATAGATATCACGTATTTTAACGGCAATTTCGAGTAGTCGGAAAATTTGAATATTATTACGAGCCATTTCGATGATCCACTTCAAACAGAATAACTCGTTGATTCATCCTCGGCGAGCATAGCTTGCTACGATCGGGGGAGATGCTACTAAAAAAATGTAATTCGATGAATTGGATTAAGATCAGCTAAGAGGCACACGTCAAACGGCCCTTTTTCTCGTAAACACAACAAATTACCAAACCCGACCGCACACAGCAAGGAGTTCGCTTGTGTAAATGACATCCGGTAAAGACCGGAGACGAGCATAGTAACAAACCCAACAACATCATCCTCCATCCGAACAATGTACAGATGTACATAGAACAAAAGTACAAGAACGTGCTCGTGTCAATTGATATATAGGCGAATGCCAATACGAATGAGCTTCCGGTGAGAGTGGATTGCAACGAGGTAAAAATAATACATACAGTGCCAGTACTACGAGTAAGTATGCGATTGTACCCAATGAAAATTGATGCAAGAGAGTGGGTATTGTCAACGGGTGTACTTACTTGATAAAATACATCATACATTTTATTTTTAGATTTGGGGTGTCTATAAATGGATCGAGCACGGACGTAGATATTAATGTCTGGGATAAACGGACACGTTTTATTTGACATGGGACTCTTTTCTTAGAATTTGTTCAATGTTGGCTACATACTTTGTTTGAACGACCCTGCACTGCGTAAGCTTTTACTATTACTCTCTTACTTTTATTAATATCGGTTAACTTATTATGATAAAAAAAGTTGTTTTTTTTCCTTCCATTGTGTACGAAAAAAGAGTGAAGTGCATTTATATTATCAATTTCGTTGTTGTTTAAATCGTTTTTTGTCATCGGTACCGTAATAATTTGGATTTTAGAGAGAAAAAACCATTACAGTTTACATACGAATGTACGAGAAAAGTAATCGCGCGAAGCGTAAAGCCGTACCGAGTCCTTTGCGAAATGAAATACGAAAGTGGCATTGTACTCGCTGCAATTGTACCAATCGAGCACTGAAATCGGTGGCAAAAGAAAAAAAAAAATTTCCTCCCGTTGCACGTATCCTTCCTTAGCAACCAGATCCGGAGTTTCAGAAAATTATAGCGCATATATACCCATAGCCATTGTAACAATAGCAGATGGAAATGCACCATCGAGCGAAAAAAGAAGAGAGAAAAAAAAGAAAAAGAAAAAAATGGTCCAACTATCGTACAGGCTCGCAAGCTGCACTTGGAGAGAGGAACAATCGAGCCCCAACAACTCCAGTAACCCCGTTGCTTCGCCTATACGTATACATACATACGTAGCCAAAAGTAGTTCACCGATTTTTCAAGCTGCAACAACTGTACCACACACGCACACAGCTAGAGAGAGAAAGAAAGAGCAATTAGCCGTGTGGGGGGGAGGTAAGGGGTATACGTCCAGGAACATCAATTATCAATCCAAATCCAAGCGGAAAGAGAGAGAGGAAGAGAGTATGGAGGTGATGATTTTTTTGTAGCACATATATTTTATATATATGGTATTGTACGGTATACGAGGACGCGCGAGACAATTTTCGACGATTGCAGTTACGTGGATCACAATTCATCCGAGGGAGTAGTAATAGCAGCTGCCCCGCAGAGGAGTCCGCAATTATTCAATCACGGGCTCTCGGCTCTCCTCCGCGGCTCTGATTCCCCCCCCCCTTTTACACCGCGTGTGATGCTGTGCGTGAATCCGCCGATGGTGTTGGCGTATTAGATGATGCCCCAGTCCGAGCTTGCGAAGCTCGCGTGTGTCTCTGCGGTGGCGCTTATTGCGTCGCGAGTACAAGCTTTTGGAGGAATTACACGTAACTCCCAGCGTCGGGTTGTAAAATATAATTGATACGTGGATGTACAGTGGATTCTGAGTGACTTTTTTTTTTTTTTTTTTTTTTTTTTTTTTTTTTTTTTTTTTTTTTTTTTTTTTCTTATTTGTTTTTTTTTTGGTTTTTGTGATGCGGTGCATACAGTGATTCGTGAACAGTGTCTGCTCCAAGCGGATAAAAAATAAAAACTTGCAAGGCAATACATACAAGGTGCGATAGATGAATGCGTCTTGTAAATGACTTATCGTCATCGTGTACGCCAATGTTTTGCATTTTTTACTCAAGTGATATCAACTTGCAATACTGGGTGTAACATATACATGCACACGGCTTGCGGCTCTGGCAGTCCAGTTAGGATTAGTTGTAACTTGCACCTTGTGAAATACACCCGCAATAGCCGATAGTATTATTATGAAAGAGTTGATGGTTACTTTGAGGCGTAAAGGGTGGTAAAAAGGTGGGAGCGACAGAGGAGGGAGTAATATCGACGCCACCTCGGCCGCTGTAAGTGATAACCGATTTTTCTATACTTTTTGTATAATTTCACCTTTCATTCTTACTCATACCGATCGTTCGGTAAAAGTACCTCAACCAAGTGTCGCATACTTTGTATGCGTCGATTAATAATATGCTGGAAAAAAAAGCCACTGAACCAGTACTTGAACAATCCCTCATCGAGTCCAACAATATAATGCATTCGATTACATTAGAAGTGCCATTTTTTTTTTTTTTTTTTTTTTTTTTTTTTTTTTTTTTCAATAACGCCAATTGGGACGTCCCGTAACACTCCACTAGATCGTCAAGAGTTCAAAAGGGTGACAAGATATACAATCTGATTATTCTTACTACGCGTGTATAAGTATACATCTCATTATGGGTCATTCAATCTGGCTCTCTCTCCCCGCAACATCCTTTTCACCGCTACGATTGTATGCGTTGCCATACTCGAAATGGGAGAAAAGTGTTAACACGCAAATTCGTATTAATAAAAAGGAAAAAAAAAATAGTAAAAACAACGAAATTTCCCTTAGAATCTGCGAACAATATTTAGTGTACTTACCTCCAGTACAAAAGCAAATTACAATGGTTGTGATGTACCTCTTGCAAAAAAAGTACTCGCAGTAAAATCTGAAAGCCTTTTAAACCTGTTAATATTCTTCTTCTTTTTAACAGTCGGACAATAGGCGAGAGCAAATCCAATACATGTTCCAAACAGTGTAGGGTTAGCGCACCGCGAGAACTCGGCCATATCAAACGTCACAACCGTCACAAGAGAAAAAAAAAAAAAAAAAAAAAAAAAAAAAGACACCTGCACCAGCAATGGAGGAGGGTGGCAGGAAGCACTTTGACATCCTCGACTCGATCGTTTTCGCGGGCATGCTCGGCGTCTCGGCCATCGTGGGCGTCTACCAGGCCTACAAGTCCCGCAAAAGCGTCAACGCGGTCGAGGAGTACCTCGTCGGTGGCCAGAACATGTCCATCTTTCCGATCAGTATGTCCCTCATCGCCAGGTGAGTTATTCTTTTCCCCTTTTCCCTATGTATCGATAGCCAATCGACTTTTCACGCACGATCCATAATACTTGGTGTCACGATCATCGATACCCTCTTGCAAGCGCACTTACGAATTTTTTTTTTTTATTTCTAACTGCATCAATAATCATTATAAATTTATTTTCTTTTTTTTTCGGGTCATGAAGGAAAAAATAAATAAATAAGTGAAAACAAAATTATCACAATTACGAGCATAATCCATAGAACGTGTTTGTGTGTGTGTTATTTCCAGTTACATATCGGGGATTGCGTTATTAGGACTTCCGGCCGAGATGTACGTCTACGGTACGCAATTGTGGTCCATCGTAATAGCCGATTGCTTCGTCTCCCTGACCATGGCCGTAGTTTACCTTCCAGTGTTCTACGGCCTTAAAATCACGTCTTCCTACGAGGTCTTTCTTTAACATTAATCCATACCGATGTATATATATAATATATACCTAAGCATTAAATTAATTAATAAAAAAAAAATACTTGGTTCTTCCATGGTTTTTCAGTATTTGGAAATGCGCTTCAATCACGTTACAAGACTGATAGGTTCATTTATATTTCTATTAAAAATGGTAAGCAAAGAATATACACCAGACTTTTTTTTTTTTTTTTTTAATTTATATCCAACTTGATACCTCGATGGATCTTGGCTACTTGCACGACAATAGGATACACTTTCGTATATTTTAATAGAGAAAAAAAAAAAAAAAAAAAAAAAAGAGTCTACGTTTTTGCAGTTGCTTTACATACCGCTGGTGATATACGTGCCGGCGTTGGCATTCAACCAAGTCACCGGTGTCAACTTGCACATGATCGCCTCAATCGTCTGTGCCGTGTGCATATTTTACACAACTCTGGTGAGTCCAGCTGACAATCAACTTTGGAAGAGCGTAAAATTTACAAGTATACTTGAAAAATCCACTAGTTGTAAGGTGGCAGAAAAAAAAAAAAAAAGAATTGTTTTCCAAGCTATATGTATAAGTTGCAGGTATACGAGCGTGGTCCCATAAATATACACTACGCACGTGTATTTTATTCCGACTAACTTTAGTAAATTTACATGTACAACAGAGTTGAAATTCGGTGGACGTAGCTTTTAGTCCTCACGCAACGAAAGTTATGGTTTGCATTTACGGAACAAGTTTAATCGATGGGGGAAAAAAAAGTACATAACTTAATGAAAGTAGTAACAAAAAAACAAAAACAAAAATGTATTATTTACATGTAGAAAGAATAAAATAAATTTAATAAATAACACCGTAGATATACTTTATACTCGAGCATCGAGTGACTGTTAGTAAATCGTGTTTTGTTTATTGACCCATAAATGTTAATTGGAATTGAAATTGTGCAAAAAAAAATTGTGATGAATCACAATTATTCTTTTTCTCCGGTGATGTATATACATGTATAAGCGAAAAGTCTTGTATCAATCGGTCATTTCGTATTCAAACAAATCATTTGAGTATTCGTGTATGATTTACAGGGTGGCCTCAAAGCAGTGGTGTGGACGGACGCCATCCAAACGATCGTCATGTTTGGCGGCGTGATTGTCGTGGCTGTACTGGGAACGTCGCGGGTCGGCAGCGTAGCCGAGGTCTGGAAGCGCAACCTCGACACCGGGAGAATCGAGTTTTTCAAGTATACATTTCCCACGATTTTATTCATTATTTCGTTCAAAAATCATAAGTGAAATAAATGTGGTTGTGAATGCCGGTCAACCCGATCTGTATATACATTGTAATAACGTGTCCCCTTCCGTTCCATCGTCGTCGCCCATCATCTATGTCACCACCGTATTGTTGTCCTCGTTAGTTCGTTGCACATACTATATATGTATACGTACCCACTGCACGTACTTATTATACACATGTACGGCTGAAGCTCGTCATCGGTCTATTGTGTCATAGCTGGTAATGGATGGAGGTGTACCGAATGGGTAATTTATGGGGTTGGAGGGTGGGGCGCCTCTCCTACATAAGCAGTCAACAAATTATCCCTCTCGTTTTATTTATTACTCCTTGGGCCTCATTGCAACTAACAAATCACCAACTGATTTTTATCATTCAAGTAGTTTTGTCAATTTTATTGTTCTCAAAAACATGTCTACACATTTTCATAAGGGACGAATGAGCTTTTTCATCGCTATTGAAAAACTTGCTTAAAATGTTATCCATTCAATGGAATAAGAAATCGCGCACTTGGAAAGCAACAACGTAACACACGTCCTCATCGAGCAAATCCTGATAGCTGCTTTGTCATCAGTTGCAGAAGGTATACTTGCCAGTCAATTGTGCACGTTGTACGTATACATGCGGCACAGCAGAGAGACTCGCGTCGTTAAAGCGTCGATTGTGTGGCCAGAATTATTGTCCCTCCCTCTCTCGTCTCTTGACTTTTCCACACTGTAGTGGCTCCATTTGTCCGTGTATACTTGGCTTTTTTCGGTTAGTAATTACACTCCCCTGAAAGTAGCTGTACGAATGAAAAATAAATGGAGTTTTTATTATTGCGGTGTAATATCATGTAGGTCACGCAAAAATTGAAAAAGCCAAATATTAACAAGCAGATGATGTGTGGGATAACGATTGTGGGGGAAAAAAATTATTTTTTTTTTATTTTTTAAATAATTCCTTGTGTCTAAAAGTTGCGTCCTTGATGTTTGCAGCATGGACCCGAACCCTACGGTCAGACACACCTTTTGGACGGTCGTGATTGGTAATTACCTCAATTGGCTGGCAACGTGCTCCGTGAATCAAGCGATGGTCCAGCGCTGCCTTGCCATGCCGAACCTCAGAAAATCAAACATGTTTGTAATACATTGATTCTCAGGTTTAGTACAAATTTTTTTTCTTCCTTTTTTTTTTTTAATCGTACATTACATCTGTATAAAATTTTGAAAACTTGTAATAATTACTTTGCCTTTTTTTTATATTTTATCATTTAAGCACGATCATGATAATGGCCATTGGTATAACGACCCTAGTCTCGTTGAGCTGCTACACGGGGATCGTTATATTCGCTGCCTTTCACGACTGCGATCCACTGACTACTAAGGTAATACTTACGTGTTTTTTTTTTTGTTTTTTTTTTCATTATTCATTGTAACATGTACCCACACGGGTTGGCTTCGAAAAACCTGTATATTTCATGTCTCCTAGTCAAATGAAAATTAGACAATACTAACTCATTAAACAAAATTATCGTTTATTTATGAGAACCAATAAAATAGTGACTAAGATAATTCTCCAAAGTAAAAACACGTTTCCTCTCTGTTTGGAGACCTTGAAATTACATTTGAGGTCCAAAAGATTCTCAACACATGAATTTGTCATTGCCATAATACTTTTTGTATTTAATAAAATCCTTGGATGAATTATAAATAAATGATTGTTCTGGAGCTCATTTACTCGAGCCCAACATGTTCATTTGTTAAAAAACAATCTATTTTATCCTTAAAAATAAACTGGAGGTTTTTTGCTGTGAAATGGCCCAAACATCAATTGTTTACAAAAAATTTAAATCGACCGAGTCGTTATAAGATGAAAAAAAAAATGTTAATCTTACTTACAGCAAATACGCAAGCCGGACCAACTGTTGCCGTACTTCGTTATGGAGTTGTCTCGGCTGATTCCAGGCTTACCCGGCCTTTTCATATCCGGCGTCTTCAGTGCCGCATTAAGGTGAACAAACGTAATGTCCATACAAAAATATGTACAACAAATCAACCACGTATTATACTTATTACTCTACTCATTAGCATTTATGTGTAGCTGGTACTCTTTAATTTTTGTTTTTAATCTGATATTCAATTGATTATGACGATTTATCGTTGAAACACGTAGTAACGGATCGCAGCCAGTACCCATAATATACGCTCCGAAGGTGAAATTTTGATTGATGTATATTTATGTTGTCGCTAACATCAATGCGTACACACAAAAAATAATTGACATTAGTGAGGACAAACTACTTGAGTGTTTATTTGATACCCGATTATTGACAATCCTTTTGTATAAATATGATGTCAACGAACTGCCCATCGCTACAATGTTCCGATTCTACTGTAACCTACATATTACGTATTCGTTTAAAAATAAAGGGGATCGATTACTCGGGAAAATATTGATACCAGTTTGACCGAATACTAACAAATTGAGCTTGTAAAAAAAATACATCGAGCGGTTTTACTCTGACTGATTCTTCGCAAGGCACATGTTTACCGCACTAAAACGACTTTGTGGACTATCGGTTATTGAAGTCGTGTGACAAAAATAACATTGACAGCGAACAAGCTTTGTGCGAACAAAATACCAGCATCGCATTTTATTTTAATATCCTTTAATATCGGTACTGTAGTGTAATGTACAAAACAGTGTGGTCGCGATTGCATGAAAAAAGGATAAGTTCCGGTAAAGTCTGAGCAGCTCTAATTTTTCACATAAAAAGGTCGCGCATATCCAGATACTTTTTCAATTGTTTCGAAAAACTGGAAATTTTTTTGCTGAAAAGTGCATCGCATTATTTGTGCGGAAGGAATCCTCATTTAGTATCGTTACTGACTCAGTAGTCAGTAGTTGAAAAAATGCTCTCCAACAAAACGATCTATGAAAATCCGAAAGAGCAAATGATTGAGAAAAACAGTATTTAAAAAAGCACTCGAATCTTTTATCCTGAATACTTAAAAATGTAATTTATTGCAATTATCATCCAGAAAGAAAAAAAAAAAAAAAAAAAAAAAACACTTTGCAACCCTTGCAGCACAATGTCGACGGGGCTGAACTCGATGGCCGGAGTGATTTACGAGGACATGATCAAGCCGTGCCTGAACAAGCCCATGTCGGACACCAACGCCAGCCGGATCATGAAGATCACGGTCGTGGTGATCGGGATCGTTTGCGTGGCTCTGGTGTTGCTCGTCGAAAAGCTCAGCGGTCTCATACAGGTGATGATGCCACGGGTAACGATATCTCCCCGCCAATTTGATATCGCCAACGATTTTTCCATTCGCAGGCAGGGAAGAGCTTATCCGGCATCACCGCGGGCCCCCTTCTCGGAGTTTTCACTCTCGGCATGTTCTCACCCTACGCCAACTCACAGGTATACATGTATAGATATGGTTACTTCCCTCGTATAGGATGTCGATGGTATATAAAATGTATGTACCCTTTTGTCAACTCTACAGGGTGCAATAGCGGGTGCTCTGGCGAGTCTGTGCTTCGTAGCATGGATATCCTTCGGAAGCCAAGCGGCGGTGGCCACCGGGAAAATACACTTCCCGGTAAAGCCGGTCTCGACGGCCGGCTGTCCCGAGGCCCTTCGCTCGACCGTCGCGAATCTCACGGTCATCATGGAAACTGCCGTCAAGTGAGTCGTGCAGTTGAAAACTCTATTGGGGGTTCGATATTTCTATTACAACTCTTACTGTTAAGTATACAACAATGGCAAGCATATATTATTATGAGTACTTCATCAAACATGCCGTATAAATGTATAGGTTCGTCGTGCTATTGATCAAAGTAATTTGATGCAAGCTTAGAGTTGGAGGGCATTTCTCTGTTTTTTAATTTAAAAAGAAAAAAGTGCTTCTTTGGAGGAATTTTCACGACAATTCGATCAGAGATGCAATTTTCCTTCGACTAAATGACAGATATATACCTGTTGTGTGGTGGAATTGAGCGTGAATTTTTTATAATATTTATCCCACGTTTGAACTTCGTCGTGTGCAATGCATCTTTCAAGCTTTTCCGAGTGATTTTTCAATATCGAATTCTTTGACAAAAAATTTTACAGCTAACGCGTAAATATATTTCTCCGACATAAAACAACTAGAAAAGTATACCAAACGGAAATGGAAATTGAAATGTTGGACTAGTCCACACACCAAACAAAAATTATCATTCACAATTTTATGCAGGAAGAGACAGTTTTTTTTTTTTTTTTTTTTCAATCACGAAATAACTTGAAATCGACCTTACTCTCCGTTTTATGACTAATGAGTGCAATACCCTTGGTCTAAAAAAAATGGTACTATGGTCAAAGCGGCTTGACGTTACGCCTACTTATATTTTTCTATTTCTAGTACTAATTAATATCTAAGGAATCTGAAAATATATATATATATATATATACAGCATGATATGTAACGGTGGCATTTCCCGAGAACCACGTGTAGAGCGATTTTTTCTGACGCGAACCCCGTTGGAATTAATTTTTTAGGGCAAATAGCTTTTAAATAGGAGCCGATTAAAAATACGTTCCAAACTACCCCTAAATGGGGTTGGAAGGCTATAGCGCGCCCGCATGAACTCGCGACGTTGCCACAT